ACTTTGTTCTGTCTGCTATTACTTGGAACCACTTAAATCCTACTTTCTGTATTTAATAAAATCACTTTTTACTTATTAATTAACCCAGAGTATGTATTAATACCTGGAGGGGGGGGAAACAGCTGTGCATATCTCTCTATCAGTGTTATAGAGGGCGAACAATTTATACAGGGTAAAATGGATGTATTTGGGGTTTAGACCCCATTGGGAGTTGGGCATCTGAGTGTTAAAGACAGGAACATTTCTGTAAGTTGCTTTCAGTTAAGTCTGCAGCTTTGGGGGATGTGGTTCAGACCCTGGGTCTGTGTTGGAGCGGACTGATGTGTTTGGCTCAACAAGACAGGGTGCTGGAGTCCCAAGCTGGCAGGGAAAGCAGAGGCAGAAGTAGTCTTGGCACATCAGTTGGCAGCCCCAAAGGGGTTTCTGTGATCCAACTCACCACAGAGTATCTCAAGCACTTAGGGTAAATATCGACTATCACATTACGAGTGCTCTCTACATAGCATTTATTTACTCAGTGAAACACTTACCTCGCTTACTCCAACTGTAATGGTGGTCACACTAGGGGTCATTTGGATGATCTGTTGTAAAATGCTGACATAGGTCTGTATTTCCATGATATTCTGTGGTGGAATAAAATCATTTTAATTAGTAACTAGTAAAGCAAGATTTTCAGTTCAGCTGACTGAACTTCTGTGATTTATTTCTTGATGATAACTTCTTTCACTTGTAAAAGTATGGGTCAAATTCAGATCTGCTGTAAATACATGCCACCCTGACTCTAGTGGCCTTCTACTCATCTGAACTGAGCTAAAGTGTTAGCAGTTTAGTATCCCAATCACAATATTCAGATAGTACTTTGCTAAAGCTGTTGGGTTACTGATGAGATATAGCATACTCTTAATTCAGTATTATGTTACTCATGTTTTAAAGGAACAAATGGGAATATAATCTGATTTAGTCACCAGTGGAGGAGGCATGGAAGGGGTAAGGGTGGTTAATGGTGTAATAAAGACCGGTGGAAGGAGGTTATTTTCATTTGTATGGCCAATGTGTAGGACTGTGACTTCTTTCAGATGACACTTTGTAAATGTGCTCAGAAAAGGTTGACCAAGTCCAGCATCTGGTTTGAATCATTGACCATTGACCCTGTTCTAGTTTTTGCCCTTATGGACCTGATCTAGCATCCATTGCTATCAGTGGAAAAAAATTCCAAAGAACTGTGGAAAAGGATTAACGTTAGTCTCGCTCCTTTTACCAAATCTATTCCCAGTTTATATATGGCTCCTAAAGCTATTTAATGATGGGTCTTTTCCTGGGAATGCCAGACTACAATCCTCCCAGTCCCAGATTAAATGATGATAAAAGATGCAAGCAGATCCTGGTAATCATGTTAATGATTCTCGACTGCTGATCTTGAGTGAGTGAGCTTTGATAAAATACAACAGCCTACTTGTTGGTCTAGAGAATACTGAACTCAATGTATTTTGTTCAGTAACATATCCAGTCTTACCTGGGGTCACTGCGGTTGTTTGAACCTTTTCAAAATGCCATTTTATAACAAAACAAAAACAACAAACCTTTACTCTGTAGGCCACTGAAAGAGATCAAAGGTTAGCATGACACTTTTCAACCTTCCAGACTCCTCTCTGCGAGGTGGGGAAGTCAGTGCAATTACCTTCTTGTACCTGTCCTTTGTGGCATTAATGTCATCCTGCAGGAACTGTGATTCAATCTGAAGTTCCAGATTACTTAACAAAGCTTCATCTGCTTCCTGCAGTGCAGATAAACATGACACTTTTAGTACTGGCTTCAGGATCACTAAGAATAGATTAGCCACTTATCCAAAAAAGTGAATCATTTAAAATTTGTAGCCACCTATGTTGAGAATTAAAGACTAAAGGTATGATGAAACCAACAAACAATATGCACTTTTATCCATTTGGCTCTCCCGTGGTATATACTGTTTTTCTAAAGAAAGCTGATAAAGACAAGCAGTTAATACATTTCAGTACTGTGGTGCTGTCACAGCTCATTCACCATATGCTTTATGATGGCTGGGAGCCAAGGAATAGACACTTTATGAAATATCAATCACTGAAGCTTGCAATGGTGTCTGATTCTAAGCAGGAAACATCAACAATATAAGGCATTGATTTCTCCAATATTTGTGACAGCGTTTGATATATGCCGACACTTTTTAAAATATCACACTAAAGAACATACCATATTTCTGTGCCAACCTGAAATTTTTCATTTTGTGACGTCTCACACATCATAAAATTGGATTTTTCTGTGACATTTCTGGGTCTAATAATTATTGACATGGTGGCCCACAAAAACTAGAAAAGCAAGTCGGGGGTCAAAAAATTGCAATTAATTGTAAATTCAGGAGGCAGAAGATTCTCAGAGTCCAGTTGGTCTAGAGAAAGGAGCACAGAACTCAAAATAATTACCATGATTTATACCTGCGTAACAGAGAGCAGAATCTGGCCCAGTATCTAACTCCCGTTTCAATTCTAAGAGGTTGCTTGGCTCATTACTGAGTTTACTACTTTAAACAAGCTCCTGAATATAAAATACTTCCCAGCAACTTTAAATCATACAATACAAAATAACAAGTTCTATGGGGATAAATTTCAGCCTGCTAGCTAATACATCAGCATCGAATTAAGTATAGCATGCACCAATAGAGTGAAAATTTAGTTTCTGGTAGGACTCCTGAACATGACCAATTGAATCTTTGTTGCAAAACTCCCTAACACTCAGTGATTCCTATGACATTTTATAATTGACGTAAGTGGAGGTGTTTCCATGAAGCTATAAATGCAATATGAACCTGATCGAAAGCCCATTGACATCAAGGGAAAGAAACTCACCAATGTGATGCTTGAGCTGGCTGAATTGCACCAATACAATTGAATTGACATTTGCAGAAGACAAAAGTATTCCTTGCAGTGATAAAAAAGGTGTTAAAAGGTGTTAAAATATTTCAACAGATGCAGGCGTGGTATCTATAGTTTTTGGAGGATTGTTTACACGTAACTCTTTGTCAGGAAATCAATGCATTTTGGCAACTTCTGTGACCAAATGTTTGTGGGTAAGACAAAAATAACACAAGCTCTCTGAAAACCCTGGAGACTGTTTTTTTCACCATGTAAACTCAGCCCTTTGCAGTCTCTGTCAATGGTTTTGTTATGATATCACAAAATCCCATAGATTTTCAGTAGATCTTATTCTAGAGAACAAAGTACATCCTGAGACCGTGGGGGGTGGGGGAGGAAGAGTCCTTTTCTCAATTGTTTTTGCAATTTGTTTACTTTCTGCATTTGACAGCACTTTAAGTATAGTTTCACAATTTCCCGATACAAGCAGCTATTCAGGTCATTCCACCTGCTGTATCAGTGCGTCTCTGACCCAGCAAGAGCAAAAAGAAGCAAAAAAAAACATAGGAATATCTGACGGTAAAATCAAAAATTTGACAGTGAGTCTCCAGGGCAGCTATACATCTGAAAGAGCATTTAATTCATATTTTCACATTAACTACATTTCGAGGTGATGGTGTCTCTTTAGTTCTATCACATCAGGTATTGAGTGGTAAGTTGTGCCCAACAGCAATAATCATCAGCTTTGTAGCAACTTTGTGGTAGCCATGGATGCTAAAATCACTAATATTTCATGAGCCTGATTCTGATCTCATCTAGACTAGTGTAACACCACTGGCTTCAATGGAGATCCTCCTTTTTTAGGCCTCAACTAACCAATGCATTTAAGCACATGCTTCATTTCCAGCACATTAGAAGTCCCGCCCCATTCAACAAAGCACTTAAACAAGTTATTAACTTTAAGCACCCACTTAATTCCTGATTTACACATATGCTGAAAGTCAGTGATTTGCTGAATCTGGCCCTTACACCAGAGGCTAGAATCAAGTCCCATGTGTCTGAGTTTATGAGATAGTTACATTCAAAATGCATACGCTTTTTTTTCTTGACTCATTCCTTTCTTCATAATTCCAACCACGCTGCTCATACCAGCTCAAGGAAAGAGTATGCTAGTGAGAAGGTCTGATTAGGTACTTTCTAGGATTTGGGATAGAAAAGTGAGCATGTGCACTGTGAACCTACCTATATCATACTTGCCAGCACATGGGGATTCTGATCTCTGTGGTAAATCAAGTATATCTCCATTGAAATCAGGAGTGTTACCACTGGTGACTGTGAGATCAGAACCAGGCCCATTCAATATAATTGATTTTGTCATCTATGAAAATCCCAATGTTGATACAAAGGCTGATGATTAGTTCTCAGGAAAGTGTGTTCTACTTCAGTGGTTCTCAAACTTGGGCCGCTGTTTGTTCAGGGAAAGCCCCTGGAGGGCTGGGCCGGTTTGTTTACCTGCCCCGTCCGCAGGTTCGGCCGATCGTGGCTCCCACTGGCTGCGGTTCACCGCTCCAGGCCAATGGGGACTGCGGGAAGCAGCGAGGGCTGAGGGATGTGCTGGCCCCCCTTCCCACAGCCCCCATTGGCCTGGAGCGGCGAACCGTGGCCAGTGAGAGCTGCAATCGGCCGAACCTGAGGACACAGCAGGTAAACAAACCGGCCAGGCCCGGCAGGGGCTTTTCCTGAACAAGCGGCAGCCCAAGTTTGAGAGCCACTGTTCTACTTCACACAAAACCTAACCTGACACAATTAAAAAATCATCATGGGAAACTAAGATCTGATCTGTACTTAACCATTAGGGCCACGTAGCTATGGTGCTAAGGGGGTTTGAAAAATTCAGACCCCAGAGTGCCACAGCTATGCCCACTGAACCCCCAGTGTAGATGCAGCAAGGTCGATGAAGAATGCTTCCTTTGACCTAGCTACCATCGCTCCGGGAGGGGAAGCGCCTACAGCAATGGAAAAAAACCCTTTCCATCCCTGTGAGAAGTGTCTATACTATGGCACTACAGCAACATAGTCACAGCATCGTACCTAAACTGCTGTGGCATCTGTAGCATAGACATGGTCTGAATAAATAACTGACTACACAGAGGAACATGTGACACTGGCTATGCATAAAGCACTGTCAAATGCACAAAGGAAACAGAAAATACGGGAACAAACATTTCCCCCTAATCGACTTCAGTCAGAGTAACACTAGATGTTGCTTGTAACAATAGGATCTTAAGGGGCAGGGGGAGGGAGGGGGCGGAAACAGATTTTTAAACATATGGTATCCCTTCAAAACTCACCACTTTCAATTATCAGAGGTAAATATCTGGCACAATGATCAGATCATGTGCAGTGAATTAAACACTCACCTCTCTGGGCAGGGCATGTGACTGTGGTGAAAGAGGGATTTCCTTTTTCACATGTACAGCAAACTAATCACCAGGGCTGATATGCTATTGAGAAATGTGTTGATGCTTGCGATTTTCTTTATGCCATTGACTCATCCAGCCAGGTTTGCTGATGCACCAATAAAACCACCGTGAACTTTTTTTACTTTAGTGCTAGTTAACTGCACTGCGAGCAAATGCAGCTAATTAAAACAGACCATGACCAGAATATTCTAAGCCAGTCATCAGGAATTTGTGGAGCATTTATGCAGCCTTAATGATTTCCTATTGAGAGAAAGATCAGCACAACAATGATAGTGTTAGGAGTCTTGTGGGGGAAGCAGACATCCCCAATTAGCAAGGATTTTTGTATGTAATGAGCAAAATCTAGTTTTCAGCTTTTCAAATGTTTGCCCAAGAGAGAAAATGTGTTCACAGTTTTTCTTTTTAAATAAGCTAGATTTAGCTATGCATTCACTGAACCCTCACGCTGTATCAAAACAACACAACATCCAGTTATTTTCTTCTCAACTTTGCATCATTCTTTCATTATTCTTTATGTGCATTTTTTAAAAAAATCTTTAGATACTGACTCCAGCAGTGGTCAAGGGCCCAGATCTTCAATGGTATTTAGAACATAACTCCCATTGATAAATACCTTTGAGGATCAGAGCCATTTTCAAGCAATAGCAATGAGATAGGACAAGTCCAGTGCTCCGCAGAACTGTTGTTTAATGCTTCTGTACATTGATGTGTTCTTCCCTATTTGTAAAGATTCCTGCATGTATATAAATCAATCAGGCTTCATCCTGAGTACTATGCACAGAAAATGAACTGCAAAGCAGAATGGACTTATCTTTCTGAGTAAAAGCCACTGCATTCCTACATCTATAAATTGACCTGAATGTACCCAGATACTAGTTTAAGCATAAGGTGATGGATATGGGGATGTGAATTCTGTGTCACTGATAAATATGGACAATGCAATCATGTCAAATGCCAGAACTTTGCTCTCAGCGTAATATGCATCTCATATCTGCTGTCTGCCCTGCTGTAGAGAATACTGCTGTCAAGAACCTGCTAAGATGTATAACATCCTCCATGTCATTTGATATAATATGAAATGTATCAGTGGCACAGAATTTTACCACACACACATACATGTATGGTGTAAACTGTTTGCAAAATGGCCTTCATGACAGGGCTTGGATCCCTGTTTGTTGTTAATGGAGAGAGGTACAAAATTTACAAACAACAAATCATTCACTAAACGGAGCCCCTTTTCCTATTCAGCAGTAGTCTGCAAACACACAGTAAGCCTCTTCATTATTCAGATGGATCAGTGAATGTTGTGTATGAACAAATTTCTTCCTAAAAGATTGCTCACAAACTGGTTGCCTCGGTGAACGTTCTATTGCTCATTTGATAGTTTGCTCTCTGTGGTTTGTCGT